ATTTCGGGGGGTGAGGAGGGAGAGAGGAGAAGTGGCGACATGGGGGAGTTCCCCCCCTCCGGGGAGGGAAGGGCCTCCCAGGGTCTGAAACGGGCGTCGTGTCCCTCTGCCTGCCCGCTCGTCGCGACCCGTGTCGTGCCCGGCTGTGCTCGCGCCGCCTTGTCTGCAGTCGTGCTTTCCCCCTCTGAGGCTTTCCACAGACCTAGCGTGGAGTCACGTCCCGTCGCTCAGTCTTCTTTTGCCAGGTTGAACAAGGCAAATCAGCGCTTCTAAAAAGCATCCCCCTTTCCGTCTTCGTCCTCATAGCCCTTCTCTACGCCTGTTGTAGTCACTTCTTGTGTGCGAACGCTGTATGCACGGTTGCAGACTAAGTCTTGCCGAATCCTTCCTGAAGTGGCAGGAGCACTTCCATGCTTCAACTGAAAATGCTTTGCTCTGTGCATGGTTAGACTGTATTTGCCTTTTTCATGGCCTGCGCCTGATATCTCCTGGTTTTCTTGTCAGGTTCATGTGCATGCCTTTCCTGTTTCCTTCAGATAAGGTTTTCTGAGGTAACGTGATTATTTCTTTTTAAGTACAGGATCTTGCACTGTGTACTCCTCAGTTTCATGCCGTTTCTAGTCATGTAATTCTCCTTTTGTTTCTCCTGTATACTAGCCTTATTGCTGTTTCTGATTTTGTGCCAAAAGTGTCTTCCTACTCTTTATGTCAAAATCATTAATGAGAATTATAAATAAAAACTTGTCCCAAAGAAATTCACTGTAGATTTTCTTCAGGTCTCTACTTAACCTCCCATTTCATGCAAGATAAACATAAATGTCTGCGTGGCACCATATCAGGTGTTTGACGGTGTCCCTTGTAAGTGTGATCTACTACATTGCTGCTTTTCCTAGAAAAATCACTGGTTTTAAACGTGTCAAGTTAGTTTAGCAAGATCTTTCTTTGGTAAGCCAGTGTTTGGCTTTATTTCATTTTTCATCAAGGATCATGTTTTTAATTATTCTTTCCTTAGAACTTGCATGCTACTGTGGTAAGAATAGCCAGCCTATAAAATTGAATTGGTTGTAAATACAGAAAGAAGGTTCTGGGGCATTTTAGCTTTTAGCAGAAAAAAGGCAAATTGCAAAGGCTTGAATTTTGACTACAGAGGGTGGTAGCTATGGAAGAGATGTTTGAAATTTTCCAAATGTTCTTTGTCAGATAATTAAAAACAATAGGTTGTGTCATTCACTTAGTGGAGGCTGCTCTATTTAAGGATTTTGGAAAATAACAGAAGTAGGTTTTTGAATTTCTGATTTCATGTTTATGCCACTAGAAGGAGATAGATAAATAAAATGAGGCTTAATTTAGAGAGCTTATTCAAAATTTTTGCTACAGGTTTTTAATGAGCTTCTAACTCTTAATGGATTTGTAACTTTTAAAGCTGTATATAAATGTTGGTAATTTTAGCTAGTTGATCTTATGCTATTTAATCTGAGTACCTGTGTGGTAAAGCCAGCCTTTTAATAATTCTTAACCACTAGTTTGTATTCATTAAATAGTTGTAGTTAGCAATTACATTTTTGCACCAAATATTCCTATCTTTAGATGGAAGTTATGCAACTCTAAATATAAAGTTCTGCCTGATTAAAGCAGAATACAATCTCCGTTCTGAATGTATATTTAAAAATTAATGTCATAACTAGCAGCACTTCTGTAACATTAATTCTATTATCCTCTTTTTATGGATGGGGAACTGGGGATGGGAGGTTAAGTGACTTGCCTGACCACAGAAAACTTTTGTAAGAACACTTAAAGGTGTGCCACATCAGCCCGTGTAGTTCATAGATTGGCATGAACTGTTGATGAAGGAGCCAGTACATTCGTTTACTTCTATACCAGCCTAAGTGTCATGTAGTGTCTAGGGTCGTCTCAGTCTTCTAGTCATCGTGAGTCAGAGCATGTGGTTGTATGACTGCACGTTTTCGGTGCATTAGTGCCAAAAGTATTATCAAAGAGACTCTAGCTCATTGTCAGGTCAGGCTCTCCATGGACATTAGTGGTTTGCATTGATCTGTCACATCTTGGAAGGGTATTTCAGCAGCTAAGCTGTTAACGGAGTTGGATAAAAATGGTGCTGTAGGGATCCTCAGAGTCTGCCAAGGAGATTTAACTGCCTGATGAGATAAGTATGGAAACGCAGCCTTTGAGGATCCAGGTTTTGGATTTCTGAGACCTCAGCCTCAGCTAACAACCCTGTCAGTACTTTTAACAGCTTTATGTGTGCATGCAGCCAGAGACAAGTGTCTAGGTGGTAATTAGGGCACTTTGAGGATGTCAGTGACACCCAGATGGTGAATTTAAAACGAATGACAGTGTTTGAGATCTGCATATGCAGTATGTATGCACTAGCTTCAGTGCATACATAAGCTTGCAGTTTAAGCATGTTCATGTATATTTTAGATTGGACCCTGTAGTTTGCAAATGTTCGCTGAGTTAGGTGAGTATGTAGATTAAAGACTTGGACTATCTGTTTTATCAAATAAACATTTTTTTTTTTTAGGAAATAAACATTTATCTGATTTCTTGTAATATAACTTAATTGCTAAAGCTCACTAAAACATGTCATGAATGAATTCTGGCTTTCTACTTTGTCTCATTATTTCTTTCTTCTTTTTTTTTTTTTTTAATCTTCATGCTTAGAATTCCTCCTCGATCCTTTTGCAGGAGGCAGTCACCCTTTCTCCAATGCTGACACTAGGCTGTCTATGTAAAAGGTTAAATGTTTTGTAAAAACACAGGATAAGATAGTCTTTGTTTAGGTTTTTTGAGTTTTGTCTGTTTGTTTAGACTGTGAGAGCCTCTGTTCTAAAACTTCTTGTATTATGAAGTGAAAACCACAGAATTTGAAGTTTAAAAATTACAGGAGATGATTAAATATATATATATATACATTCACATGTGTATATATAGCCTTATCTATCTATAGTGCTTGCTGGATTGACTGCCTCTGGAAAAGAGTGTTGTAGTTCTGGGCTTATTTTAAACTGGGAGTATAGCTGAAATTGAGGACATGACCAAAAAGCTGATTACCTCTGAATATCAGAAAGAAGTCCTCCGGAAAGCTTTACCTTGTGAAATGGCTAAATGTAACAATACAATGTTCTGAAACACAGAAGAAAGCTTGTAAGAGGCTTGTGTGTATTTCTGTTCCTAGACCTTGGATAGGAGGTCAGGGTTACAAAAGCAAATCAGCCCCGGGACAGGAGTAATTTGCTGATAGTGTTACAGAGGATGATTTACGTTTCCCCGAAGCTGCATTGCTGGGCCTCTTCAGATAGGAATTTGCAGGCCAAACCAGTTCATAGGTGTCACCAAAAGAAGCTGCTGGATTCCTTTGCATCTGTGCCTTTGTCTCTTCAAAAAGCTCCTTTAAGATCATGTAAGGAAAAGCACAAGCCGGGAAGAGCAGGAGAAACTAAGGGGGGTGCTTTGTTTCTGCAGTGCTTATGCTATTTACTATCTCTAGTATAAGTGAGATGCAACACAGTAGGAGGGAGGGAAAAAAATTAAGTTCGGTAGATCTTTCTGTTGCACCCGCTCTTAATCTGCATGATATCACACCAGTTGTCTTGGAATCAGTGTATTAAGAGCATTGGTAGGAGGAGGGAGAAGAGGGCTCGAGAGAAAGACTCAGTTAGGCACATGTGATCCTGCAGTAGTTTGCTGGATTTTCTCTTTGCTCCTAGCAGCCGAAATCAGATCCAGCATAGCAGGGGTTCGTAGAAGGGGTTGGATGTTTCCTGAGTACTCTCTGCTCAGTTGTCTGGCAGCTCCATGCCAAATCAGTCTAGATGTGGTAGACCCAGCGGAGTAGGAGGCAGTTAGGTGTGGATGGGTGTTTCTTGTTACTAGGGATCTGCGTTTCTGCTCTCTGCCATTCCATTTCTACAGGCTCTTGGAGTGAGGGCTGTCATGGTGGGAGGAGGGGAAATTGAGAAGCAGCATATGAGAGTGTCCTACCACCTCTTGCACCTCAGCTGTAAGGGGGGAATTGAGCTGGCAAGGGCTAGGGAATCAGAGGTAAAGAAGTGTGTGTGTGTGGGGGGGGGGGGCTTCTTACCCCTTCCTTATAGGCACAGAGAGGGCAAATAGCACCATTTCTGCTATCGTAACAGAGCATGCTGTCCTGTATGGGAGAAGGGGAGAAGAAGCACAGGGGAGCAGTCCCCCTCTTCTCTGCTGTTTTCTGGGCTCAGCTA